AATCCCCTGCTGTATTAGACTTTTAATCCTCTAAATAAACAAGGTCTCCTGGGTTTATATGGTGTGAGTTTCTAGTAATCACCGGGTCAGGTTTAGGAAGGATACGTTAGATTCAGGTGAATAATTTCATAAAGCTCTATAGTCTTTATCTACTGATAGGTTTACAGCGAGAAAAGTCTTTTTTATGTATGATTGTTAGGGGAGTCCATCCCATTTTCCCGTTGTTCAAATAATCCTATGCCCATTGAGTCCTATTATTATCCCCACAGAATAAGAAGCAAAAAGATTGTCCATACCTGTGCTATTGTGACAATATCTCTGAAGTGCCTCAAGTTGTCCAGCTTAGGCAAACATTTAAAGAAAATCAGAGCTAGAATTTAGTATCCATTAAGGTCTATTATTGAAACCTAATTTTTCTCCCTAGTAACCTTCATTCCAGAGATGGCCAAATCCAGCCTAATTCGCTTGTAAAACACATCTAGTTTGATAAACTTGGCCTAATTATTCAGATAAGCTCAGCAAGAATAGCGATCGAGTATAAGGATCTTTTAAAGTTTGCTTTGCTGGAACCTTTCATAGGGAATCTCTAGATTGAACTTTTAGTAGCCTTTACAGTCCAGAAGCCAAGCCAAGCACTTGCCATCAGACATGGCTGCAATACCTGTGGAATTGGGTGAATTCCTCTTCACGAGGTCCCCAAGCTATCCTGAGGTTCCTACACCTGCCAGGAAGTGACATGTTTTACGCAACTGGTAAGGCTGCTGGGAACTCTGTGAGCAAGGTTTCAGGCCAACATTTCCAAAGGGCTTTATGGCTCCCTGTTTCATAAAGTCAACCTTAGTTTCTTAGAGCTGTATGGTCATGTCTGAGTCTACTCATGTCTCTCAAACAGGACATTCCGGTCAAAACCTTGGTAAAATAACCGTATTTCCAATGGCATCCTGTTGCAAGCAGAACAGATCCTTACTGAACTTCTGCAAATGATTCTAATTGTTGTGAACAGATACTCACTGAGGGTCTTTGAATTGTAGAGGGTCGGGGCGCCTGGGTGGCGCAGTCGGTTAAGCGTCCGACTTCAGCCAGGTCAGATCTCGCAGCCCGTGAGTTCAAGCCCCGCGTCGGGCTCTGGGCTGATGGCTCAGAGCCTGGAGCCTGTTTCCGATTCTGTGTCTCCCTCTCTCTCTGCCCCTCCCCCATTCATGCTCTGTCTCTCTCTGTCCCAAAAATGAATAAACGTTAAAAAAAAAAAGATTAAAAAAAAATTGTAGAGGGTCTAGGTAGAGAGAAAAGTTAAATGCTCCAGTGTGTACACAAATGAATACTCTATCACATTTCCCTTTGTCATAGGTACCTTAAGAGAAAGTTCCCTTCATCTGGAAGAGCAAACCTTAAAGGACCGGCAATATTTCCAACAAGAGTCACAAAACTCGAACCTGTTCCTCACTTCATTTAGTCCACTGTTCCTAATTCTTGTCCAGTTTGAAGGCAGCTTCTCACCCATTTAAGTATTCATCTTGGAGATGTCAAATATCTCTCTTTGTCCTAAAAATCCTTTTGATTAATCTCCTTGAAGATGAGTATCAGAACCACAACTATAAATGACAAAATGTCAGAAATGGACATGTTCACCATATGATATGAGAGTTCATTATGATGCAGTTAGCAAGGTCATCCAGTGTTCAAAGACACATAATACTTTGATAGTCAGAGTACCAAAGGAAGACCCTGTACCAAAACATTAAAAGTTTAGAAATCACATATATATTTGAACAGTTCTAGCATTTACCCATGCAATACCATTATTTGTTGGAAAGTGGTTCCAGAGTAACTTAATATGCCAGAAAATGCCTAATTGGTAAAAAAAGACTTCATTTATGATTTAAATGTGGGAAAGTTTGCTAAAACCTCAGTAAGCTACAAAGCACATCCTAAATAGGATTACAGATCATTACAAATCGTCAAACTTTACATTATTTATTTAACCAGGATGGCAACAAGAGATCCCAAAGGCAAACATGTAAGGTTATACAGTTGTTAGCAAAACTTAGCTCCTTTAACACTGAGAAGTTTTAACTAAGTAATTAAAGACTTGATGAAAGAGGAACCCTAAAGCTTTGGGCTTTTTCCCAAAGAGAAAAAACTCTTTGTTTGCATTTTCTTATCAAGGGCAGACCAACAATCCAAGAAAACTTTGACTTTGAACAGAGAGAAAAACAGAATTTCAACCTTATACCAGTGTACTTTTTTTATAATGTTCATTTATTTTGAGAGAGAGAAAGAGAGACAGAGCATGAACAGGGGAGGAGCAGAGAGAGAGGGACACAGAGGCTCCAGGCTCCAAGCTGTCAGCACAGAGCCCCACATGGGGCTCGAACCCACGAACCGTGAGATCATGACGTGAGCCAAAGTCGGACACTCAACTGAGTGAAGCATTCAGACGCCCCCAACATGAGCTTATTTGACCTTTAATAAACCTAGATAGAATAAGTTTCATATTTAATGCTGATAACCCTAAAGACATGTATCAAATTAAATCAACAAACTTAAATTAGTTTAAACACCAAATAAGTTCCACCGGTGTCCACTTACAAGATAATATGTTCCCCGTTGTCAATTTTTTAAACTTGGGACACTGGTGGGGAAACCTGAAGTGGGTGGTCCAAGGGGGTGCTCTTTGCTCCTTGACCTTGAGGGAGGAGCCGATGGTGCCTGAGGCACTGAGGGTGGTATAGAAGACAGTTGTGTAGGTCTCACCCAAGGTGGTGCAGAAACAGGAGGAGGGGGATAAGACTGAAGGGGTGAGGTTTGGCCAAGAAGCCTAAAGGTAGATAAAAGCCCAGAGAGCGGAGAGAGGGGGGTCTCCTGGTACTAAAGCCTGTCAACTTGAACAGATGAGCAGATGGCATGTTTTTTCCACCAAAGAAGAATTAGGCGGTCCGTGTCAGGCTGGAGAAGATAGGGGATTTCCCTAAAATGAATGGAGTTTCGGCAGCTGCTTGGGAATATTCCGTAAAGTCCCAGACCCGAGGGAGACTAATCACAATTACCTCCAATTGTAGCCGTTAACCCAGGAAATGCATGAGGGAGAAGCCCTCACACCAGTTAGGAGGAGGAACAGAGAGAAAGAGTTAGCGTCCCCTTGGCTGGAAATGGCCTGTGTTTCCTCCAACAGCCTGGATTCACTTAGAGGAGGCCTATCTAGACATCCAATATGTCAGGGGGGAGTTTACCAGCCAAATACACTTTGGCAAACACATTCTGCAAGAGGCATTTGGGTCTGGGTCGTGATTTAGAGCTGTGAGGGCCTGGACCTAGGGTACCTCTGTCCATTTGCCCTGTTTACTGCAGAAGAGATCTAACTGCTAGATCCTACGGACGCCATGCAGTATTACAGGAGATCAATCCTTTCCTAAATTTTGCAATCCAAATTGTTTCCAGTGGGTTAAAAGACATCCCAGGGGAGACTCCTTGGAGACAGAGGAGGAACTCCCATGCTTCTCCTAGAGAGAAAGCGTCTATTATCCTGACAACCGCCCCACCCCCCGGCTCCCTGGTGGTGTCCCAGGCACAGGAAACGTCAGAGGTTCCCGGTGCCAAAGCGACCCGACACAACCCTCAAACGAAATCGCTATGACCACCGACTAGCCGATTAAGGGCTCCTAAAAGAGGGATGTTAGCATCCCTTCACTTCCCCCAGACTACAGATGGGTGTCTGACGTATGGACGAAATTTGCCTTGCTGAGGAGGACAGTCAACTGTCATTTAGAGCCCGTGGAAAACACTGGAAAAGTTTTGCAAGGGGGAATGACCCAATTTGGTAATTTAAGTAGCAGGTAGTAGAGGACACTGATTGAAAACAGTAAAGGTAGAAATCCACCATGATCTAAGTGACATTCCAACACGTAAGGTCTTCACAGCCAACTTCCCTAAGAAACGGTCCCCGGTTCAATGTTCTTTCAATCGAGTAGTGGTTCCACCAGCTCTCCGTGGGAGGTTCCAAGGCTGGAAGCAGCTAGACCAGAAATGTGGAGGGGATCACCTTAGACCAATGAGGAAGATACCTCACACGGGAATCATAAGATTGGCAGCCGTGTTGGTCCACTTGGCTACTTGGACAGGTGGCTGTCCCATGCACAAGACAGACAACTTTGCCTGAGGACAGGAATAAAGAGAGGGCACCAAGTTTCTGGGTCTCATTACCACCCCACCCAGGGTAGTAACATCCAGCCAAAAGACAGGCTTTCTCCTCCCCATAGAGTAGACACGGGCTAGAGGATTGCAGCCTGAGCAATCCACATGAAAAGGGTTCCAGTAAGACCATACTTCGCGAAAAGCCCCTAAAATGAGAGTAAAGGAAGAAAAGACAAAGTACCTCAGGAGTGTCTGAGCAATGTCACCTATATCCCACCAGGGGGTGGGGAGTGCTAGCTTCTATTTTGCTCTCAGCCTGCCTTATGCTCCCTCAACACTAGGTCTGAGGGAGGAGGGGTCTGGACTTCAGGGTCCCTGGTTCTTACCCTGCTTCAGGTCCCGACAGCACCCCAGGGCCCTGGCTCCGTTGGTCCTGGTTGCTTCCTGACCCCGCTGTTCCCCTTCAGCCTTTGCCTCTGCCCAGGCTCCCAGTACTGGCTGGGGATCCAGAAAAGACAAGAGCAAACCTGGCAGGAAGAGCTGGGAGGGGGCGTCCTGTGAGAGGACGGGCCTGAGGGAAGAGATCTGGGTAGGGCTGGTCCTTCCCCACTCCTTGATTCCGGAATTACATCTCAGCCAGGTGGCTGTGTCGTGATGAAGGGTCGCATGTTCCCAGGCTCTCCTTCTAGGACAGGAGAGCAGCCCCAGAGTTCTCCTCTCGGAAACCAAGAGTGAGGATCAGAGCAGAGCAAATGAGTCCGGTATTTAGACAACCAGATAAATCTTTATTTGTGCCACGGTACTGTGGCCTTTTCCTTCGGTACCTTCGGAACCTGCTCCTGTGAAGGCTGACTCTTTGGGACCTAGCCCTATGGAAGACCCGCCCTGTCAGCGGAGAACCAGGTATTCATGGAATCGATCACCTTCCCAGGCCGAAAGCAAAGGACGCTGGGGGAGGGTGGGGTGCAAATAGCAGAACCAGATTAGGTCCTGAGTGAGGGACACCCCTCCCAGCCTCCCTATATTGGATCTTATTCTCGCAATGACCCCAACTTAGTCAGCAGAGGTAAGCCCCACCCCATCCCCAAGAGAACAACCTCCTCCATTTGGAGGGTGGACATCCCGCCCCTCGCTCCAAGCCCTGACTTCTTCAGTGGGCGACTCACACGGTGAGAATGCCGATGATCAGCACCACAAAGCCCCAGATCAGCAGCCCTATCAGACGGCCTCTCAGCCTATTCTCCAACTTCAGGTACTCTGCCCTCCCGACAGTTAGGGACCGGTCATGCCAGATCTCGGCCAGGGTTCCACTGGTTGATGACCGGGTTACAAACATTGAAGGCTGGGTTACAAAGGTTGAAGACTTGGACGTTGTCTCCACAATGATTCTTTGAGGCAACACTGACGGAAGAAAGGGAAAGAGCAGACCTGAGAGGGTCCCAAGAGCCCTTCGTGGCCCAGGCAAGCTATCTCCACGCCAACCTTCCCCACACCTAGGCCTTCCAGGAGATAATCAGGACCCTAACTGCAGGAAGCATGGTCCAGGTGAGTAGTGGCCACGCCCAGGACAGGAAGCCACACCCCCATGGCCTGAATCCACATCCCACAGGGAAGTTTTAACCCGCAGGCCACGCCCTGAAGATGGCTGTACCCAAAACCCACGGAACTGAACCCCACACTTCTGTCGACTCCCCAGCACTGACCTGTGACTTCAAAATGGATGATCGTGGATGGGCCATGTCGCTCAGTGCCCAACTCGCAGCGGTAGGTACCTGCATCCTCTGGCCCCACGAGGGGCTTGGTCAGGGTGGGTCGTTTCCCCTTGTACACCAAGGTCTCAGAATTGCTCCCCCAAACCTAGACCCAAGTTCAAGAGATCACAGAGGCCTGGGGAATTCAGGCCTTAGGGAGAACAGAGGTGAGATCATCACGGGCTCTCAGTGGGGAAGATGGGAGTCCAGGGTCACTGGTAAGGGCATGGGGTCCCCGGGGATCCGTGGAAGGCAAACCTGGTAGGTCATGGGTCATGGGGATTGTGGGAACAAGCTTGTGGATACAGGGGTCGGCGCTCACACAAGCCTAATGGACTTGGGGTTGAAAGTCCCACCCTGTAAAAGCTGTAGTTGGTCAGGCCTTCAGATAATTTATGCCAGTTGAGTTCACAGTCCAGGACCAAGTCTTCCTTTTCGTGGACGTTGATTTGGCGCACTGGGGACGAGGGTTATGGTGGGGTGCTTCCTCATGGTTCTAGGCCCTCCATCCACTCCCTCCCACTGGGTCCAGGCCCTTCTTTGCCAACAGGCAGGCTTCAGTCTCCGCCCTGTCAAGACTCCATCCCTCCTCTGGCTCCGCCTGTCCTGCGCCAACCCCTCCCGTTGGCCCCAGCCTCTCACCTCCGCAATCTGTGGACTTTCGACAAAGGTAAAGGCGTTTTCTGCATATGTGACACCAGAGCAGAAGCTGCAACATCGTACCTGAGGGGAGAGATCAAGGCTCTATTTATCCTAACAGAGGAGGCTAAAAGGAGAGGGCAGGGTCAAGGGCTGGGGAGGGATCAGGCGCCTAATCCCTAGAGGTCAGCCCAAGGGGCGGGGCTAGAAGGCAGACCTGCCGGAAGAGGGATCTAACCGGGCTCAGTGAGGAGCCCACATGGAATAGGACCAGGAAGTCCGCTGTGCAGAAGGACTACTGGGGACCAGGAACCTCTCAGACGTGGGGAAGGAAGAACCGTCGAGATCCAAAGCAGGAGGAGAAAGGCTGGGTATTCACGGGGCAAGGATGAGGGATAAAAAACCATCTTCCATAATCTGGACTCACCACATTTGTTGGGACAGAAATCTGCCTCAGAAGGAAGAAAAAAATAACGGCATCAGGTTTCTAAGCTAAAGGACATGAGAGAGGGGGAGAAGGAATAGGTGGGGGGTTGGGCTCTTGGGTTGGAGGGAGGAAGGGCCCGGGTGCCTGGAGGTCTGGGTCCAAGGGAGAGCGCGGTCGGGAGAGGTAAGGGGACGGACATAGAAAGCAGGGGCTGGGGACATAGACCCTGGGACTGGTGGAGGAAGGGGCTGTGGTCCCGTACAGAACCCATATTCCCTCACCCTCTCTCTGGAACCGAACGACGTAGCTCTGAAAGCTTTCTTTTTCCCGAGTCAACATCTCAGAGAACTCCTTCTCTAAAGTGTCATCTGGAAAAGCAGCAGGGTGACGTAAAGTGCTTCCCCTCCGCTCCCCACCCCAGGAGTGAGGTACAGGAAGTTTGTCTCTGTCTGAAGGGCATGCCAATTCCCGCTGGGGACTTCTCAGGGAGCGACAATGAAATTGAATGACCACTTAACCACGCCGGCCACGGAGCTAAGCGAGGGCTGGTGTCCAGGCACCGTTATGATCCATTTTAGAGGCGGAAAACCTCCTCCAAGGCCACGCAGCTAGGGGATGACCGGGGGTGGGGGGATTTGAACCTAGGCAGGTTGACTCCAGAGCCAAAAGATTCTGGAGCCTCTCCCCTGGCCTGTGTGTGCATTTACCTCTTAAACCACGGTTTGTGATATATTTCACACTCCTCAGAAAACTCAAGACTGACGTTTCCATTGTGGCTTCATCTGGAGGGACACAGGGGATGTGGGGAGGGGAGACAGAACCTCAGATTCCAAACCTTAAGCTCTCTTGGCTCAGCTAGCGTTACAAACTACAATACCCATGTGGCCGCTGGGCAAGGATGGGGCTGTAAAGCGATTGTCCGCCCGTTGCCTGCTGGGAGTTGTAGTTTTTATCCAAAATGGCAAGGTAAGGCGTAGGGGAAGTGTATTCCTAGCCTTGGCAAGGCCTGGATTCTGCATCCCAGCCTTCTCCATGCCTGAACCCAGTAGACTCTGCCTTCAGCTCTTCCCTCCCGTCCCCCTCCCCCCCCCGCCCCTAGCAATCCTAGGACTAGACCCCTCGTTTCCCATGACCCAGGGTTCCCACGCTCTACCCTGCCCTCACCGATAACCCCGATAAAGGAACGCTGTAAATTTGGCAGTTTGGTGAAATTCCCCACGGTTGCTTTTATCGTTCTCATCACTTCTCTGTGACGCTCGGGCGCCAGGTGGGTAGGCAGGTATTCCTTATCGAAGGAGTCCAGCGCAGCCACGACACTTCGATCACACGTGACACAGCTCCGGGCAGGAAGCAGGCAGCCGGCTAGCGCCGCCACCAGGAGGGCAACTTGGGGACCCATT